CCCTAGGGTCCTGGGATGGAGCCCAGTGACATCGAGCTCCCTTCTCAGTGGGGAATTTGCTTCTCTCTCTCTCTCTCTCTGCACCCACCCTGACCCGCTCATTCTCTTTCCCCTCTCTGTCAAATAAATAAATTAAAAAACAAAAAAACTAGAGCTATCAGAATCCCAGATTTCAAGATATACTGCAAACTGTAGTAAAGAGAACAGTATAGTACTAGCACAAAAACAGACACACAGATCAACAGAACAGAATAAAGAGCCCAGAAATAAACCCATGATCATTTGGTCAATTAATCTTTGACAAAGGAGGCAAGAATGCACAATGGGAAAAAGACAGTCTATTCAACAAATGGTGTTGGGAAAACTGGACAGTTACATGTAAAAGAATTAAAATGGATCACGTTCTTACACCATACAGAAAAACAAACTCAAAATGGATTAAAGACCTAAATAGGAAACCTGAAACCATAAAAAATCCTAGAAGAGAGCACAGACAGTAATTTCTCTGACATTGGCCATAGCAACATTCTTCTAGATATATTTCCTCAGGCAAGGGAAACAAAAGCAATGATAAATTATTAGGACTACATTAAAATAAAACGATTCTTCATAGCAAAGGAAATAATAAAACAAAAGACAACCTGCGCAATGGGAGAAGATACTTGCAAATGACATATCCATAAAGAATTACTATCCAAAATACCAAAATACATAAAGAACTTATATAACTCAACACCAAAAAAAAAAAAAAAAAAAAGGCAAATAATCCAATTTAAAATGGCCAGAAGACATGAACAGACATTTTCCAAAGACATCCAGCTGGCCAGGAGACACGTGAAAAGATGCTCAACGTCTCTCATCATCAGGGAAATGCAAATCAAAACCACAATGAGATATCTCCTCAAACCTGTTAGAATGGCTAAAATCAACAACGTAAGAAACAACAACAGAAGGCAAAGATGTGGAGAAAAAGGAACCTCATGCACTGTTGGTAGGAATGCAAACTTGTGCAGCCACTGTGGAAAACAGTATGGAGGTTTCCTCAAAAAGTTAAAAATAGAATTACCGAATGCCTGGATGGCTCAGTCAGTTAAGCGGCTACCTTCAGCTCGGATCATGATCCCAAGGTTCTGGGTTCAAGTCCCGCATCGGGCTCTCTGCTCAGCAGGGAGCCTGCTTCTCCCTCTGCCTGCCGCTCTGCTTGCTTGTGCTCTCTATCTCTCTTTCACAAATAAATAAAATAAAATCTTTTTTAAAAATTTAAAAAATAGAATTACCAAATGATCTAGTAACTACATAATGGATACTTACCTAAAGAAAATGAAAACACTAATTCAAAAAGATATATGCTCCCCTCTGTTTACTGCAGCATTTACAATAGCCAAGATATGGAAGCAGTCCAAGTATCCATCCACAGAAGAATGGACAAAGAAGATGTGGTGTATATATATACAATGGAATATCACTCAGCCATAAAAAGAATGAAATCTTGCCATTTGCAACAACATGTATGGACCTAGAGAGTATGATGCTAAGTGAAGTTAGACAAGGACATAATACCATATGATTTCACTCATATGTGATATACAAGAAAAAAACAAAGGAAGAAAGAAAAAGACAAACCAAAAAAACAGACTTTTAAATATAAAGGACAAATTGGTGGTTGCCAGAAGGAAGCTGGTAGGGGGATGGACAAAATAGGTGAAGAGGATTAAGAGTACATATATTGGGATGAGCAATGAATAATATATAAAATTGGTGAATCACTGTATTGTTCATTTGAAATTAATATAACACAGTCTCAGGGTGCGTGGGTGGCTCAGTGGGTTAAAGCCAATCCTAGCCTATGAAAATCCAGCAAAGGTTGCTGGAAGTTTCTGGTGGATGCACGCAGTCAAATCCAGACCATGCCAGTGTTCTAGTAACAGCTCTCTGAATTTTAGCTGCAAATGGAAAAATGCAAGTAATCTCTTCAGAGAGTTATAAGAGAACAAACTATCTCTTAAGCTGAACATGAACAAGGACACAAGCACCTATTGCTATGACAGCATCCTAAAATCCAACCATGAAAGAGGATACTATGCATAAAAGCTAACACAAAGGAAGGAGGGTAGAGATAAGAGACTTAATAAAGAATTTACAGAGACTCCAGAGACTTACAGAAAAACAGAGCCTCAGCTGTGCCCAACTACCTCCTGACTCTACTATAAATGAGTAATATTTATTAATATTACTCACTTAATAATATTAAAGTTAGCCAGAATCAGGTTTCTTTACTTGTAGCCAAATCCCTAACAGACTGGTACTATCTTTATAATCAGAAAAATATATATATTTAAAATATCAATGAATAAGTGGGGAAAAAACAGGACATGGTCAATGAGAGCTTATCAGAGAGATACTAATGATCCCTTCTACAACTTTTGCTGGATACTGCTACATACACCTCCTTCTCATATTATGTGATATTTTTAATTAAAACTGAGTCTGTACTTTTCAGGAAATGATTGGATACTCTAATCACAAGAAAAGCATCATTAGGATCAGAAGCATAGGATGGAAAGGAGATTAAGGGATGGCAGACTGCCAAGCCTCAGAGCCTTTCCTGCTCTCCATTCCCTACCCTAATCTTCTTTATCAATTTCCATCACAGTAATAAATTGAACAGTTCAAAAGGCATGGCAATATTCTCAACTTGGACAAGATGACCTCTTTAGACAGGGAAAGTGTTTTACTGCACTCTATCAAAAGAACTATTTGTTATTGTCAATGTCAGAATTGTCTTAATCGTTTATCACTGCCATCTATCTCCCTTCTCCCTTATTGCTCAGTTAGTCTTGGTGCAGATAGTTAGAGCTCTTAGTTGGCATTCAGTCCGCAAGTTCTCAAGAACTAAAGTAGGAGTACTAGGGGAATTTTCTCACATTCCTTCCTGCGATAACATCAATGATGTGGGACTCTGGCCTACCCTCTCAAATCTCTCTTTCTCCCTTTTCCTGCCTCCTCACTCAACCTAGACCCACACAAGTTTCTTTTTTCTATTTGTATACCCATGCTATTTAATGTGGTAACACACACACACACCAACACACACACACACCCACACACATACTCTCTCTCACACACACTCACAAAACCAATGAAGAAGAGTGCGATGCACACCCTTGGTCTTGAAAGTTACCGCTCGTCTATCATCCTGCAGGCTCAGCACCATCTCAGTCAGTTGAGCACCAACCCTGTTCTTCCTAGCCCCTGCACACAAGCCTCCAGCAAGTACCTCGCCTTCCACCTTCCACCTCCTCTACAGGTAAGAACTGCTTCAAGATCCTTCCCTCCAGCAGCAAATGCATCTACGTTGCCAACCATCATGATATTTTTCCTTCTTAGGTCAGAGGAAGGAGCACAACAACTCCTACATAATCAATACTAAAATGATAGCAAGAATACCCACAATATACGATGTCTCTCACCCTACATAAAGTTTTATGCTCCATTTGTGCTCTAGATCACATTATCTCCTCTCCTTGGTCCATTAATCCTTCTCCTCTCCAGCTTCTCAATGATCACTTTACCCTCAAATTCAAAGCCCTCAGACTTCCACTTCTAGCCAAGATAATGAAACAGTGAGATTTACCCTTCCATCTTAAACAACTTTAAAAAATATATATATATATAAGAAGCAATGACTTTCCAGACCCTGAACATTAGACAACAAGGGACAATGATGCCTGAAAGATGGAAAACATGGGTGATCCTTTGCTTACAGCCTTGAAAGCATTTCCAGGCTGCAGCATCAGGAGGGGATCCTGGGTAGAGCCTGGTCAACTACTCAAGTTGAAGAGACGTGGCCAAGTCTTAAAAGACCAAAGTGAATTCACAAGACAAAGTGGCAGAAGGAGAGATGCAGACAGAGAAAACTCAGGGGATCTGCAGAGGGTCCCTCTCGGGTACTCAGTAGAGTACTGGAGGGCCAAAGTGCATGAGGAAAACTATGGAGGCTGAAGGAAAAACCTGAAAGCATGAAAGACAACAGTAATCAGAGCTCTCAGAGGGCCAGAATGCTTGGGGACACAGACATTCCACCTATAGCAAAAGCCAATAAGCAGAGAAACACTGTAATTAAGATGGACGTGCAACCTGAGAAGCTTCACAGGCCAACAAAAGTAAAAGAGCAGCATCATTTTATCTAAAATCACTCCATAAATTTCAGTGACTTATGAGTGGCAAAGACGGGGAGAGGGGCATACTAAGTGCCTTCCTAGTGCCAGGCACTGGAGAGGGGTCAGTAGGACACAGTCCTGCCCTTGTGTGCATTCTGTAGTCGTCAGGACAGATTCATCAACTCTCTCCTTTGAGTTTTCCTTCAGTTTTTGGCCAGCAGTCAGCTAAAAGGTCCCCTCCTTGGGGCACCTTGGTGGCTCAGTGGGTTAGAGCCTCTGCCTTTGGCTCAGGTCATGATCCCAGGGTCCTGGGAATGAACCCTGCATCGGGCTCTCTGCTCAGCAGGGAGCCTGCTTCCCGGCCCCCCCACCCTCTGCCTGCCTCTCTGCCTACCTGTGATCTCTGTCAAGTAAATAAATTTTAAAAATAAATAAATAAATAAAATAAAAGGTCCCCTCCTTAAAAAAACCCTCTTTCAACCCCCTAACAACTATAGAGTAGTCTGCTTTCCTTTCTTGACTGTATTCTTCACAATTCCTAATAATCACTTATTATTACTATATGACTATGATTATTATTTTCTCCCATGCACATTTAGAATATGAGCTCTATAAACGAAGAAATCATGTCTGTCAACTTCACCACTGTACCCTCTGTGACCAGCACAGTATATAACCACTAAAGGTACTCAAACACTTACTGAATAAATGAAAACAAGAGCTATGACCAGGATAAGTTTTCTGATGACCAGCATTTCCTAGGCTAGTTAGCCCCAAATCCTTAGATTTGGCTCCTTTAGTTATGAAGGAGCCTATGAAGTACTCATACAAAGTACTCACCTCTACCTGAGTAACATTGACAACCAGCACCACCACCATCAGCACTGCAAGCAAACAGCAGAAAAGCCGTAGTTTGAAGAAATTGAGCCACATTGTCTGTCTGTGTCTTGATCACCCATGGCCGATGCCATGTTACCTTCACTCCTTAAAACTCCATGTCTTCGTTCTTCTGATCTGCAGACGAGCTTTTAGTTGAATTTGTTTGTTTTCCGCTAGTATCATTAAGAGCTCTTTGTATGGAGGAGAGGCTAGGGTTGACTTAAGAAGCACAATTTTCTTCAGAGGAGTCCTTCAAACAGGGAAGATGAGAATACAGATCACCAACTCCAACAGCCAAATGTGTGGTAAGAGGAAAGGTGCCACACTTCCTCTTCCTGAACCCTCTCTCAAAGGCCCAAACTCATGAGGGGAAAGCAAAGAGCCACAGCGCAGTTAGATCTGTTGTGCATTCAATTTGCTCAAACCCAACCCCAGAGTTCCATACAAATACAGTGATATTTGTCCTGTAAATTTTAGGTTTTAACTTTGAGGAAGGCAAAGAAGAATGTCTTCAAACCCTTAGAATTAGAAAATTAAAGTCACTGTTAAATTTCTAGAGGTCTAAGTAGATAAAATCACTCCCCTTCCCTTATAGCTCAAGTTACATAACACTCCTAAAGTGATTGTATTTGACGAGCATTAAAAGGAAACCTGCTGATTTTATGAGGAGTTCTGTGAGACTGCGCAAACCATCCCCACCTCCTCTAGAAAACAAGGAGTGCTGTCCCCCTGCACAGCAGAAGACATGAAACAGCCTTTGGATGTTCAGCTCCTGAGGGAGGATGCTCCCTCAGTAGAGTAACAGGGCCCAGGAGGGAAGACACTTACCCTGAAGATAGAGGAAAGAAAAGCTAAGCCTGACGATTAAGAGGAGACCCAACTCCCTCATCATAACTGCTAGAGGCAGAGGACTTCAAAGCCTGCCACTCCTACCTGTTCTCACATAATGAATTCAAAATGCTCTCCCCAGTTTTTATTTTGGTATAGATAAACAGAAAAAAATACTAGTGTTTTGTTTCTAGCTAGGCTCTCCATAAAGGGCAAGGTGGAGAAGTCATCGTGAAAGGGTGCATAACTATGGTGCAGAGGATCTCTGACTACTTCAACTGCACCAGCTCTTCCCGCAACGTTGTACTGGACCTGGCAAGCCGCCCTACTTCCCTCTCTCTTTCACTCCACCTGTCTAGTCCATTCCCATGCCACGAGGACCACAACTCCTCCTCAGCTCTGCCTCATAAAGGAGACAGAACTAAGCTATTCTAACTTGCTCTCCATCCTCAGAAGTCCCACAGCACTTTCTTCTCACTTCACATCTCAGCATTTTCACTCCTCTGTATTTGTATGTATTTCCTGTTCCTCCAACTAGACTATACCAATCATGATTTAAAAAAAAACAAAAAAACAAAAAAAACAGAGGGGCACCTGGGTGGCTCAGTCAGTTGAGTGTCCGACTCATGATTTCAGTTCAGGTCATGATCTCAGGGTCGTGAGATCGAGTCCCACATCAGGCTCCACACTTAGGGTAGAATCTGCTTCTCCCTCTCCCTCTGCTCCCCCTCCACAGCTCTCTGTCTCTATCTTCTCTCTCTGTCAAATAAATAAATAAAATATTTTAAAAATTTTAAGTTTAAAATTAAAAAAAAAAAAAAAACAAAAACAGAAACCAGGGCACCTGTGTGGCTCAGTTGGTTAAGCATCAACTCTTGGCTTCAGCTCAGGTGGTGATCTCGGGATTGTGAGATCAAGCCCCAGTGCAGGGCTCTGTGATGAGCATGGAGTCGGCTTGTCTCTCTTCCTCTCCCTCTGCCCCTTCCCCCAGCGAGCTCTCTCTCTCAGATAAATAAAATCTTATAAAAACAAACAAACAAACAAAAAAGGGACAACTGGGTGGCTCAGTCAGTTAAGTGACTGCCTTCGGCTCAGATCTTGATCCCAGGGTCCTGGGATTGAACCCTGTGTTGGGGCTCCCTGCTCAGTGGGGAGCCTGCTTCTCCTTCTCCCTCTGCTGCTCCCCCTATTTGTGCTCTCTGTCTGTCTCTTTCTCTCTGTCAAATAGATAAAATCTTAAAAACAAAACAAAAGAAAAAATACACAGAAACCACGCATCAGAGAAAAAGCAACTTAGTAATAACAATGTATCATATTTCTTGGATTCACTCACAGTACCTCCCCCTTACATGATATATATTGATGCAACAATCCACAGAACAAAAAGTTATGGAAGCCTACTCTGCAGCACACACTGTACTAAGTGCCAGAAACTCCCATGGAAAAGCTTGCACTTATATCAGACAAAAGGTATTTCCTCTCCTAACTTACGAATATTTATCCCTCTGCAGGCTCCCTGTACAGGGATACCAAGCACTGTGAAAGACTGCACTTTACCATTTGATGACCCCCCAACCCCACCCCTAAAACCCAAGCACCCACTCACCCCAAAGTGCCTGTAAATCCTGGGAAGGAATAACTATGAACCAAAAGATTCTGTCATCAGAGCCCAACTGCTCTTCTGTAGAAGAGCAGGAGTTGGCCATAAATATCATAGGCTTCCCTCATGCCCAGAGAGGGAGAAGACCAAAGACAATACTCCACGGAGATTCAGCAGCACCACAGTAAGCACTATCTGTGTACTGCAGAAACACCAGCAGTTTCGAGAAAGTTAGTGTTATTCAGAGCCAGGTGGCAGCAGTGCAGCTGCGGTCAGGGGTGCAGAAGGATGGCAAGGGCAGCAGACTCCAGAACTACGGGGACCACAGGGACATAGGTAGCAAAGCAAATGTGCAAGAAACCCCTCATGGCCAAGGACTTCTACTGAAAGTTGTTACTGGAGGGGCATGCAAGACCTGACTTCTAGACCCATCTGTATATCTAAGTAGATGTGGTCTAAGGGGCACGTAGACCTCTCTTTGAAAAGACATATATGAAAATGTTCATAGTTGTTACCTCGGCACAGTTTTTTTTTTCCTTCATCTTTATCTTTGTGTCCTAAATTTTCACCAGGAAATAAAAATTACAAATAGAAAAAAGCAGGTTTCTAAAAGTAATAATTAACAACAAGCCATAAGGAGAAACACAGCATTAAACCAAATACAGAAAAACAATTCAATTTAAAATGAAAAATTTGGGGGCACCTGGGTGGCTCAGTGGATTAAGCGTCTGCCTTCGGCTCAGGTCATGATCTCAGGGTCCTGGGATCGAGCCCCACATCAGGCTCTCTGCTCAGTGGGGAGCCTGCTTCCCTCTCTCTCTGCCTGCCTCTCTGCCTACTTGTGATCTCTCTCTCTGTTAAATAAATAAAGAAAATCTATTACAAAATAAATAAATAATAAAATGAAAAATTTTAAAGTGAAAGAAGAAATCTCTAACCGTTCTCTACTGTCTTCCTACAAATACAAAACCTACGCATTATACCAAGAAAGTTATTTAAAAAGACGGCAGGACAATATCATTCAGTATCTCAAACTGCCTTAGACTTGAATAAAAACAAAAGTGTTAGACAGAATGACTCTAAGGAAAAGTTTCCTAGACCAGCCAAAAATAAAAATTTATTACTGAATGTTATTTACCTTTTTAAAAAAAATTTCCAGTTCCCAAGAAGAGATTAGAGCTTACATCTAACTTTCCTTCCAGTGTAAAGTCCTGAATTCAAGCAATCATGACAGGGCTTATTCTTTTCTTGCCACATTCAAAGCACGGGTTGATGTTTCCTTTTACACCATTCTTCCAGCTGCAACAAGATTACACACATGATATCCAGGTTAAAGATACCAAAATTAAGGAAAACATTTGAAATCAAGAGTACAGCTTTATCCCGAGATGTACAGAGATTTCAGTATAACAAAGTAGGAGAAACATTTCCTTTACTACTAATAAAAAAATAGTAACTGTCTATTTATATATATATGTATGTGTGTGTGTGTGTGTGTGTGTGTGTGTATATATATATATATATATATATATATATATATATATATCGACTTAAACATGGCAAGTTACTCCCAGATCTGAGCTGAAGGTCAAATTTTCTAATTAGCAATATAACTGAAAAAATATAAATCAAAGATAAAAGCTCCGTATGTTACTTTTCTTAAAGACTAGAATAATTATGTACTTCAACAACCCATCCTACCACTATAGAAAATAAGAGGTATCTAGACAGATCCAAAAGTATGATTAATTCAGGAGGAATTTAAATTTGAGTGGTCTTGTTTTCAAATCCTCCTAATGTGTCAGTCCAGTCCACCACTTAGTCATGCCTCATATTTATGTTTGAAGGACAAGCAAAAAGTAAAATGCATGGTCTATTGGGTCTCTTCTGCCAAAGGTGATTAAGACTACTTACCAGCCAATCTAACTTCTTTATGCCTGTCACAACAACCCTAGACTGCCACTATGTACGTGACTTCCTACCCCATCTCATAAGAGAATTACAGAGTGGTTGTTTACATCACTTGGAATTAAAACTGTTAGTAACATCAATGAGATAGTTGAGTTCAGTACTAAAAAGAAAATTGGGCAGCAAACCCTTCCCCCACGGAATTAGACAACCATTTCACAAAGATAAGGTATTACAGGATAACTACACATCCAGTTTCTGGGACAGTCCCCATTCTATATACCCTGAACTGCTATCCACATAAATATAATTGTACTTGTCAGACCAAGTGTATAGAATTTTAATTCAAAATACATGGACCCCCTACACAGAAGACAAATCACAGATCTACATGGAATATACCCAAACTTAAATATTTCTATATCGGGGCACCTGGGTGATTCAGTGAGTTAAGCATCCAACTCTTGATTTCAGCTCAGGTCATGATCTCAGGGTTGAGATCGAGATTCTTCCTTTCTCTCTCTCTCTCCCTCTCCATCTGCCCCTCCCCCCTCTAAAAAATTTATATATCAAATTCCAAATTGCAGCTGTATAACTCATAAACACAGAGAAAAAACTGATGGTTGCCAGAGGGGAGGGAAGTGGGGGGTGCAAAATAGATGAGGAGGATTAAGAGGTACAAACTTCCAGTTACCAAATAAATAAGTCATGGGGATGCAAATGTAATATAGAGAACATAGTGAATAATATAGCAATGATTCCGTATGATGACAGACAATAACTACGCTGATTGTGGTGATCATTTCATAATGTATATAAATGTCAAACCACTATGGTGAGCACCTGAAACTAATATAATATTGTATGTTAACCGTACTTCAATAAGTAAATAACAAAGAGCACCTATATTTCACAGGGTGCTGGGTAAGACCCTGAAACTTAACAGGCCAGGATCCAGAGAAAGAACTGGAGCCATATCCATGAATATGACAATGATGGGTCACCAAATAAGGTCAACCCTTGACAAAGAGGAAGCACAGCAGAAGTCTGCAGGACTTGTTTCCCCTGATTCCATTTCTCTTTTATTTATCCCCACCTCACACACCCAAAGTGCTGACTCACCACCCAGGCCTTCCCCTGCCCTTCTTCCAAAGCAGCACCCCATGCTTTCATGGGTGGTGGGGGACAGTTGGAGAGGAGACTAAAAGTAAAGAAATCAGTTAAATAAGTGACAGAGTAGTAAGTGCTGTAAGAAAAAAATAAGGCACATTGATAGGCTGTGTTCTTTAAACTCGTATGCACATTAATATCATTCTGTAAGCTTTTAACAATGCCAATGCTTAGACCAGACTCAACTAACTGAATCAGAATCTGTAGGACCAGGGCCTAAGAAACAGGTTTTTTAAAAAAGGTCTCCAAATGACTACTATAATATACTGCCAAACAGGGGAACCGCTAGTATGAGGTGGCCAGAGGTGTTATTTCTATCAGCGGGTCAGGCCTTTCCAAAATGATCTCTGAATTGTAACTTACACTGTCCCCTCAGGACAATCCGATTCCGGGATAACAGGGACAGCCAACTTCACTTCAGTGATCTATTCCTTCGTTTCCCTTCTCAATAACAAATAACAGCATTTTATCAGGCCAGAGACTGTGGAGAGAAGAGACGAAGTACCGGCAGAGGAAAGCAGAACCCAAACACCTTGGAGCGTGCTGCTACCTCCACTGCATGGAATCAGACAATTAATGATCAGAGTCTGGGAGTCCCGCCAGCTTCAAGCACACCCTGATGTTCCAAATGATAACCACACTGAGGAAGGGGAAGGGCCACTGAGCAGTGTAGTTCTTCATCTTTAGGAAACTGGCAGCAATCCTCCTTTAGAGTAAATAATGAAAAGAAAGGAAAATTTTACAGACAATTACACACGAAATTTATATAAATCCTGAAAGAGAATGCCACTTACCACCACCCTAGTGGCCTTTAATCAAGCGGAGACGGGTGACAGGCCCAGGTTTCCACATCACACCTTGCAAAGTCACACGCTTCTCTCCCCATACGACCTGAATCTGATGTCCCAAAGCGTCAGCTCAATAATGCCAGAAGAGTCCAAAGTGTGAGAGCATCGCCAGGCAAGTGGCAGCTGGGCCCCGGGGCAGCAGTGAGACCGGAGAATGGGGCCGAGGAGGCAGGCGTCGCAAAGTGCCCCGCACCGGGTTAGGAAGAGGTCTTCAGCTGCTGCACCTGACCGCGTTGCACCAAGTCCGGAAAACTGAGCACGGAGATGCTCGCGTCAGCCCCGCCCCCTCCCTGCGGGAGCCGCAGCGGCTCGGGCAACTCAGGTCCGAAGCTACGGCAGCCGGAGGCTCCAATTCTGCCCCCGCCGAGGACGGAAGCCTTCCCTTTCTGGCTCCAGAACCCCCAGCTGTGACCCCCGAGTCTGCAGCTCTCTGCACCAGGCTGGGGACTCAGGGGTCGGCGCGTGCGGAGAAAGGGGCTTCTCAGACTAGAGGCGCCCGCGAGGCGGCAGGCATTGGGTCCCTCGAGCGGCAGGGACCCAGCCCGGCGCCTGCGCACAAGCCGGAGTCCCGCACTCACCGCCGAGCCCTGCTGTCTGCTGTGCTCTCTCTGGCCGCTAGGCATTCGGACTGCGGGATCCCGGGAGGCTGCTCCAGATAGTCTGGCCCCTGCTTCCTGGCCCCGCTACGTCTCCTCACCCCCGACCCCCGGCTACAATTGGTTGAACTCCAGGAGAGGCGGGCCGAGGATGCTGACTGACAGCCGCGGGCGCCGTGCGCGAAACGCGGAGCCTCGAGGCGAGGCAAGCGTAGTGGGCGCTGCTCGCGCAAGGGGCCCGCTTTGCTTCTGCGCGCCGGGGTGGCATACAGCTGTAGCCCTGTGGCCTGAGCTCTAGCCCCTCTCGGCACGGGCTTCTCTCGCCTTCGAACCTTAGGGTTTCCCAGGGACAGTCTGTTTCAAGGCTTTTTTTCTTGTCAGCCAAAGTGGCTATACTGGAGAAGCCCGTACTTGGGCCGTCTTCCCTGTCAGTGGCGGAATATATTGTTTCTTCTGCCAGAAAAAAAACACTACTGGCCACGCACGAGCTCTGGAACGGCAGGTCTTTCGATCTTTCCCTGCTTGGAATTAGTCGGCTTACTCTATTTGTTCTTAAAACAGCCTCGTTCCTTTTACTCTCCCTGTACGTAACATAGGTCTTCTGACAAAAATGCCTGCATACGTTCTCCCATCCCCCAAATCTGGGTTATCCTATTTTGGACGTTCTTCTAAGCGGTAGAACGTCTATAGCTATGTGAAATTCAGAAACTGAGAGGAGACCTTGGAAGACAGATAAAGGACCCGCTCAGGAAGCCGGAAGGGATTGCGGGCTGCTCCGTGCTCTTCAGTGCACAGTGGGGTTAATGGAATTTATCCCAACAAAACACAGACTCTAAAAATAGACCTGCCCCAGACTATTATCTCAAGGTTGAAGAAGAATTAATACAAATTGCAACTAACATTAATTATTTTTACATTTACTGACCACAATGGACTCTACGTGCTTATTCAGATGTTTTCGTGGGAGAACTACATGCATGGGTGACCAGACGGGTGGAAGAAAAGCAGTTTCTACATAACGGCCCACTCTTCTGGAGTAACCATTTCATTCTTTCTGGAGAAAGTCAGCCTTCCAAGGCCTGTTCATAAAAGGTGACTTCCGTTGCCTCTGCTAGAAGAAGATCCCCATATGATAAATTTGTGCTCTTGGTCCTATCTCCCAGACACCCCATCACCTATCTTTTACAGTTTGGCTGCCTGATGAGCTGCAAATACTCAAACAGGAAGTGCTGACTTCTAAGTCATGGTTTTCGACCACATTAGTGATCCCTGATAAACCCTTTCTCCCACAGGCACTCATAATCCTGAAGCATTTGAGTCATCTTACCTATATACAGTCATTTTGGCCACAAAAACGAGTGACCAGGACCAGGGAGGCCTGCCTATCACTACTAGATAACTGCGTATCACTTCAAATAACTTTGCAAAGTCACCACACTCCCAATGAGAAATACTATTATACAAAAAATATGCAATTAGGATCTTAGCCTGACTGGGGCTGACACACAGCTCTACCTCATACTAGCAGTGCCAGTCTAGGCAAATGATTTAACTTCTCTGGGCTCAATTCCTCAACTGTAAGTTAGGGGCAACAGTATCTGCACTTAGGAATAAATGAAATAACAAATAAAAGTCCCCTAGCACAGTGTCCCAAATCTCTTCGATTAAATTCCTTACCTCAGGTTATGACATGGCATAAGGAATTTCTGAACACTACATTTATGATAATCAAACTTTGAAAGCTGGATAAAAATGAGAACATAAGGTTTGTATGTCATGATACAAAACCAAAGGAACTGTTCCTTTCTGTCCATCTACAAAAAAGTTTTGATGCTAATGTTACTCAATTTTATTTCTCTAACAACGCATGGGTTTGAGAGTTAGATAAGCAAAAAAGCAAATTAAGCCAGTTTCTGATGTAGTTAATTTGGTGGGTATTTACCAGCAACCTGGCTCCATCTCTGATGGCAGAAGCTTGGGGCACAAGCACTCCTGAGCCCATGTCAGTTCCTGATTCAGTTACTTTGCTTCTGAACTCTCTGAACAAGTGACTAAAATTTGGGCCCCCAAACCCCTTAAACCATTGTTCAAAACAAGTGACTACTGTCAGGTTAGGTACCAACCACTCTATTCCCAAAACACCATAAACCACGAGAAGATGTTGCCAAGGATAGGAGACTAGAAGGAAGAGGAATTTGGTGCCTCTATGAGTCTGTTCAGGCTGCTATAATAAAATGCCATAAACTGGGGGGGGCTTAAACAACAGAAATTTATTTTCTCACAGTTCTGAAAGAAGTACCAGAGCAAGGTGCGAACTGATTCAGTTCCTTGTGAGAGCTTTCTTATTGCCTTGGAGATATATACCTTTTGTTTCCTTCTTTTTTTTTTCTTTTTTTTTAAGGAACTCTGTGTGTGTGTGTGCGCGCGTGCCGTGCACGCACATGTCAACACAGGTAGAGGGGCTAGAACTCAAGTACCTGGAGGCCTCAGGAGTTCTGCTGGGCAGTGCAAAGGAGCTTCTTTTCCTGCTACTTCATATCCTGTCTTTGAATGCTTCCAGCTCTCCATGCCGGTCCTCCTCCTCAGGGGGCCACAACTCCCCCTTGTGCTGTATGACATAGTCCTCAAACCACCTGGTCTGATTGGCAATCCAGAACATAGCCAGCCACAGGGAAGGTTAGGTAGCCTGTCCTCTGAAACACCTCCAGCTTCACTCCCATCTTGTTTCTCTATGCCCCCCTCCTTTTATAAGGATATCAGTCTCATTGGATTAGTGCCCTACCCTTATGACCTCATTTAACCTTAATTGCCTCTTGCTGAGAAAGGCAGTTTCATGCAAGCAGCCCTTCATACATACCTCCTTAGCCTAGAACACACCTTACCAAGAGATGAAAGAGTACTCACAGCTTGTGCTGGGCTTTTTGCCTTGTGTGGGACTTTCTTTGTGTGTTCCTTTATTTTGCTTAAGACACCTGAGAGTTCCTTCACTGCTTCCATCATTTGAGGACACACTAAGAAAATGGCCATCTGTGAATCAGAAAATTACCCTTACCAGACACCAAACCTACTGGTACCTTGATCTTGGACTTCTCAGTCCCAGAACTGTGAGAAATAAATTTATGCTGTTTATAAGCCACTCCGTCCCTGGAATTGTTATAGCAGCCCAAATGGAACTATTCACTCAAAAGTTTTCCAAAATCACTTAGGTCATCTCCCTTTTTCTTATGCCTCTTCAGTGGATTTATGTCATACACCTGTAATACTTAGATTCAGTTGTCGTAATCCACACTCTATCCTAAAATTGCCCTGACATCCTACTTGAACTTTTGGAGGTAAAATTCTCATATAATAAAGCTTCAGTCTTTGTGCACTATTCTAATAGTTTTAAAGCTCAGTATGTAATGATAAAGAGGTCAATTCATCAAAAATATCTAACAGTTGTAAATAATTAGATACAAATATTAGATATTATTAGATATTATTATTATATTTAGATAAATATTAGATATTATCTAGATATTATTAGATATTAGATTATTAGATATTAGATATTATTTAGATATTAGATATTATTTAAATATCAGATATACTATATAATCAGATATATATTGGATATTATTTAGATATTAGATATTATTTTAGATATTAGATATTATTTAGATAAATATCAGATATACTATATAAATATATAAAGCAAATACTACCAGAACTAAAAAGAGAAATACAGAGCAATAATATTTGGAGACTTTAATATTCCATTCTCAACGATTGATCAAGTATCCAGACAGAGAATCAATAAGGGAACAGCAGATTTGAACAACGCTACAGACCAAATGGATCTAACAGACACATACAGAACATTCCATCCAACAGCAGCAGAGCACATTCTTCTCAAGGGCACCTGGAACATTTTCTAGGATAGATCATATTAGGTCACAAAACAAGTCTCAACAAATTAAAGAAGGTAGAAATTATATCAATTATCTTTTCCAACCACAATAAAATGAAATTAGAAAACAGTAACGAGGGGAAACTGGAAAATTCACAAATACATGGAAATTAAACACATTTCTGAACATCCAATTAATAAGAAATTAAAGGGATATAAAAAATATTTTGAGATAAATGAAAATAAAGACAAAATACCAAAACTTTTGGGATGAGCAATCAGTTCTCAGAATTCTGTCAACTATTTTCAAATTTTAAAAATTCAACTTAGGGGCAGCTGGGTGGTTCAGTCAATTGAGCATCTGCCTTTGGCTGGGGTCGTGATCCCAGGGTACTGGGATTGAGCCCTGCGTTGGGCTCCCTGCTCAGTGGGGAATCTGCTTCTCCCTCTCACTCTGCTCCTCCCCCTCTACCTGTGCTCCCTCTCTCTCTCAAATAATAAATAAAATCTTTAAAAATTTTTTTAATTTAGGGGTACCTGGGTGGCTCAGTTTTTAGGCGTCTGCCTTCGGCTCACATCATGATCCCAGGGTTTTGGGATTGAGCCCCGAGTCGGGCTCCCCACTCTACAGGAAGCCTGCTTCTCCTCTCCCATTCCCTCTGCTTTTATTCCCTCTCTTGCTGTCTCTTTCTCTGTCAAATAAATAAATAAAATCTTTATAAATTAAATAAATAAAAATTTAATTTAAAAATTTTTTTAAAAAGGAGGATCAGAGCAGAAGGATCTATAAGCAGCAGAATAAAGGAGCAGAAGAGGTATGGCAGGGAGGGAGTGATAACTGATAGATGATCAGACTTGTGAAACTATTTGGGGAAATCTTCTTAAATGTGTAGAGCAGATCTAGTGGAGCACCTGGAAAAAATAAGAGTGGGGATATAGCCGGTCTTGGGACTAAAAAAAATAAGGCAGTTTTTAATTCCAAGAAATTTTTTAAAATACAAGAAAAGATGAGGCAACTGGTTGGTTCAATTTGTTGAGTGTCTGACTCTTGATTTTGGCTCAGGTCATGACTCCAGGGTCCTGGAATCAAGGGCTCCCCACTCTGCAGGAAGCCTGCTTCTCCCTCTCCCACTC